GAAGCAAAGCTGGTTCCGGGCAGCTCAGAGCTGCTGGAGTCACAGGGTTTGTGTGGGCCAGGGCCAGGGCCCTCCCCTCCACCAGCAGTGGGGGCGCGCCCTGCTTCTGGGTTCCCTGAGATGGGGAGGATGGCGCCACCCACTTCCCAGGCCACGTGCACCTGCCCCACCCCAGGCTTGCCCTCTCCAGGCAGGAAACACGTTCTGAATACCCGAGAGAGGTTTTTTTTTTTTTTCCTGAGGGACATACTTTTGTTTTTAAGTCACGTGGGACCCTGCCCTTTGCCAGGTGTGGCTGCCCACGCCCCAAAACAGGATCTGTTCCTCCCAGGGTCTCTCCAAAGTCACTATGCTCGGGCTCCCCGACTTCAGCTCTAGATAAACCAGCATTTTGCAAACAGTGGGTCATGGGTGGAAAAAAAAAAAAAGATGTTAAGTAATAGAAGAAAATTTACTGTGAGCTGCCTCCTCAGCCAGGCACACCTCATGGCACCCTGAGGTGCCGGCTGGGAGGCTGCCTCTTGCTGTGGGTCTGTGGGTCAGACCCCTGGCCTGCAAACACCCAGAGCCTTGGCTTCTGTCTCCAAGGCATCTGGCGAGGGTTCTGCCAGCCACCGCAGCTGTGAAGCAGAACTGTAGGATTGATAAGCAACAAAATCACAAGTATCTCTCCTCTCTCTCACCCCCTGTCTGAAACCGGGTCTCCAACAGTTTGGCCTTCTAGCTAGAAATGGAATCTGCAACAGGGGATGGCCCATTTAAAAGCTGACCTATTTAGAGCCCACACGCACTGAAAAAAAAAAAAAACCCGGGGTCAATCGAATTTGAGTCTTCTCTTCTGTGCAAAGTCTGGGACCTGAACACTAAATTGGACAAGGGGGAAAACAAAGCTACAAGAATTTTGGGTTCCTGCTCAGTGAAGGGAAAGGAAATCCGGGCTCAAGGTTAGTGTGAAAGTAAAACCAGGCAGGGTGTGCTCCTAGCAAAGCAACCTGGTTCGCCAACAGGTGTTACGGGAACAGTCTTCCCTTAACTTCCTAATGGTGGCCTTGGTGGCCTCTTGGCTAAGCTGCCTTGGGGCCCCATGCTGTGGCTAGGTGCATCAGCAAGATGCCTGCGCATAGAAGGGCAGGCAAGTGGCCCTTTTCCCGGTGGAGGGTGCCCTGGACACGTGATTCCCTGCGTTCCAGTCCTCGGAGGAAGCGGAAGCTCCGAGGAGCATGCTAGGCTCATAAATAGAGGTTCTGGCGCTGCGCCAGGTCTGCCTACCTTCTGTCCACCTCTCCAGATCGCCTCAGGAAGTGCTGGGAAAACAAAGCATCCTTTCACTGCCCGTTTCTCTCCTCTCCAACTCTGGCTGCTTCCTTAGAGGCACGTGAGCCGGGGGCGGCACCACCACCCTGGGGTCCTTGGAGCTAGCTCTGCCCCCAAAGTCCCCCTTGTCTGCCCTGAGCGTGCCTGTCTTCTGGCAGAGGCATTTGAAAAGTGCCCTTTTCCCAGCTTCCATCCTCCTGCTGCCCGTCTGTCTCCTCCCAGCCAGCCACCACCCCTTGTGCTGCTGTCAGATTCTCCCTCCCCCGCCGTGTGCCGTCAGCCAGCAGGGCATGTGTACACAGGGCTGCAGACCAGGTCAGTTGGCACACATACAGCTGCCCTGCCTCCTGGGGCCCAGGCTTGCCACGTCGTGGTGGTGGTGGCGGGGCTTGCTTGTTCAAGGTAATGTGTGTGCAGCATTGGTTCGCCTCCTGGTGCTGTCCAAGACCCTGCCGCCTCATGGGTCCCCAGCCCCACACCTGGCATGGTGTGCGCTGCTACTAGTCTGATTACGAGGAAGGACAATCGCTGACCTCTAGGAGGCTTGGGTGCTTAATATACGATTAAATGATTCATCCAGCAGCTGCCTGCCACCCTGGGATTCTCAAGCTGGGGGTATGCGAGGCGTCTCAGCCGGAGCGGGGCGAGGCTTGAGCCAGATTTGTGGGGTGGATAGGTTGGGGGAGGAGCCCTGAGATTCGAGGAAGGTGGTAGAGCTTACGCAGAAGACATACGTTGAGGCAATGTTTAGGAACCTAAGTGGTTTTGAAGCATAGGGAAGCCGGGGCTGATTTCCAGGCTGGTGTTTGCACTATGTGGGTTCCACAGATGCTGGTGACGACCTTGGTGGCAGAGGCAGAAGCACATACGTGGGAGCTGGTCAGATCCTTGGCGTCGTCCGGTAGCCCAGTCTGCCTTCTAACCACGTCCATTCCCATGGTCACACAAACCTCATCTGGAGGCAAACACGGTCTCAGAAATGACTGGAGGTGACCAAGGTACAACGTGGGAATGGACAGGAGAGCTCCAGTTTTGAATTTGGCGAGTTGTCCCTCTGAGTAAGGAGTGTACATTGCGTTTGATTTGGTCACAGAAGTTTGAGCCAGGGAAATGTCAGAGCCAGGCAGCCTGACATCTGGGGAGCCTTTGGGGCTCCCTGCCCACAGCTCAAGGAATGAAGCACTGGGGCCCATAGAGATTGGTCTCTGGGGGTTTCACAAGCTCCTGGTGCAGGCAGAGTAATTTCGGGTGTCAGACTACGATGGGAGCCACATTTGGGTATTTTTAAATGGTCAGTGGAATTGGAAGCGAGCCGAATCCCAAAGTACAAATTTTCAGGTTAATTTTAACTTTGCATATCACTCACACCCAGGACTTGGCAGGGCAAATGGGCTTTATAAAGTGTGTGTGTGTTTCTTTTTTTAAGCAGAATACCACTCCATAACCCCCAGAAATAAAAGCAAGGTTTTTCATGTGGAAGGGTTAACAGTGGCCATGGGGTGTCCAGGACTGTAGCTGGGCAAGAGGACCTTCGCCCAGTTTTGGACACTTGGTAGGCAGCTCACCTGCACTGCCTTCCCCTTCCCCCACTAGGATGCTGAGAAGAGGCAGTTGGGTGCTGTCTGTGGCATCATGTCTGGGGACTACTGTGTCCTTGGCACGCTAGTGATGATACGCTAAGATAGAGAGGGTGCCGCAGAAGTACTCCATGTACAGGGTGATGGAGTGAGACTTTGTGCATGTGTGTCTTACGCGTGCACATGTGGCACTGAAGTGGACCTGGCAGACACTCCAGAAAGAGCTGATGACTGTTTCTAATAAAGGCCTTAGCAGCCATGGCTTAACACTGTCCCCCAGAGGAGTGGCCTCTGTGATGCCACCAGCCAGGGACTGCCTGAGCTGGCCGGCCCAGAAGCGTAGCTGGTATTTGCTTATAGAATCCCAGGCGGGTTGTGGCCAGGGACAGTCAGCAGGCAGCACTCAGGGTGCCACCCCAGGGCAAAGGCCTTGTCTCCCAGCACTGCAGCCTCCTGTCTTCAACTGATGGTGGTGAGGGGAGAAGCCCTTGACCTGTCCAGGAGAACCACATGTGTCCCGTTCCAGGGCAGCCCAGACTGTATGCTCTTACAGGGACCTGGGAATCCCCAGGGCATCCCAGGGAAGGCAGTAACTAAAACAGACCGTGGGCCTGTTACTGCAGTATTTACAGTAGGAACAGCGTGGGTCTCCCTCTTGCCTGTCCCTCCACTGGCCGTGACCCCTGAGGCTTTGCAGAATCTTTTCCCAGGCTTTCTTACCAGTGACCTTGGGAAGGTGGCTTGACCTAGACATCTGGCCTCTCTAGGGAACTGGATGTCCCCTCCCAGGAAGAAGCTGGGCATGGTGAGAGGCTTGTTGGCTCTGGGAGGGAACAGCCGTCCCCTTGCCAAGCAGTGGTCCTCGGGTACCAGGGTATGGGGAGGAAGGGCAGGCAGCTTCTCTGTTCCCATCTGCTTTTCTTCCAAGTTAACCCTCGGCCCAGTGCAGGGACCTGGCAGGGACTGAAGCAAGGTGACCTGCTCTGAGGGACAAGGGCAGCTGACTGAGGGCAGGCCTGTGCCATGGGAAGCCTCTCTGAGGGGCTCATGCCTTACAAAGGGGTTGGGGGTTGGCGAGGACAGTGCTGAAGGGCCTAGCAAGCAGCCCCAGTGCCACCAGGCATAGTTCCCCGCCCCTCAGAGGTCAGGTCACCCCAGCAGGCTTCTCCAGGCGCCTGGGTACCCTTGCTGGCCTCATTATGTGGAGGCATTTCAAGCTGAAAACTCAGTGCTCTTCCTACCTTCTTCATTCAAGCCCGCTGTCTCGCCTTCAGCTCCGTGTGCCACTAACCACCTCATGCACGCGTTGGTCCTGTCAAGCTCATCAGAAATGAAGGGTTGCAGCACCCAGATGTGGGACGAGGAGAAGGCAGACAGGCAGGCCTGGGCCTCAGCATTCCACTGTGCGCCCCCAGGCATGTGGGTTTCCCTGTCTCCATGTGGGGCTCTGAGAAGCCCAGCCAGGAGCCCCTGCACACCCAAATTCATAAATTAGGGGCTCAGTGACCACACATGGCAAATGCAGCCCAGCACAGAACCTTTCCATCCTTGGGGAATTCTCTAGGATGGCGCTGGGCTGGAAGAGGGAAGTCTGGGAGCAGTCCCTAGAGCTGCCCCCACCCCCCATCCCCTGGGGTGGGGCAGGCCAAGCAGGTGACTGCAGTGACACATGCCAACTGGGGAGCAGGCTGAAGAGCACTTGGCACACACATGGAGGTGACAGGAAGGTGGTGGGCTCTGGGAGTAAGAAGCAGGCAGCTAGCCACCCAGGAGGCAGCAGTGGGGTGAGGTCCAAAGATGCCCCTCCCCTCACAACTGGAGGGGCTTTGGGGAAGTGTGGCTGCGGGGTTGGAATGAGATCACCAGCCTGGCTAAAGGCAGCAGGGGTCAGGGGGTCTATCTCCCATTGGCATCGGTCACTTGCCTGCTCCTGCTGTTGCCCAGCCTGGTGCTGCCCTCTTCAATCAAGCATTGCCAGTGATGGAAAAGCCAAGATGAACGAGGCTGTTATCTGCTGTCCAACAGGGCAGTGATGGAAAAAAGGGCCCTAGTGTCCTCTGTCTCCTCCCCGTCCGCCTCTCCCACGCTGACCTGGCACCTCCCTTCCAGGTGAAAGAGCTTGTCCTGGACAACTGTCGGTCGAATGAAGGCAAAATTGAAGGCCTGACAGATGAATTTGAAGAACTGGAATTCTTGAGTACAATCAACGTCGGCCTCACCTCAGTCGCAAACTTACCAAAGTTAAACAAACTCAAGAAGGTGAGTGTGAGCAGTCGGAAAGGCGACGGGAGGAAGGAGTGGGGAGCGAGGCTCCTGGGATTGAAGGTGGGGCCGCTTAGCAGGTGTTTGAACACCTTTTCTGCCTTGTCTCTCTACCTGCCTCATTCAGCTTGAACTAAGCGATAACAGAATCTCAGGGGGCCTGGAAGTATTGGCAGAAAAGTGTCCGAACCTTACGCATCTAAACTTAAGCGGAAATAAAATTAAAGACCTCAGCACGATAGAGCCCCTGGTAAGTCATCTGGGTGCTCCCCTGGCCCCGATGGGGAGGTGGGAGGGACGAGCCAGTACCCAACGTTCCTGCTCCTCCCCACTTAATCCCTTTGACTCTGTGATGTGCCGTGGGATGGTAGAATCAGAACTGCGATCACTGCTTCATCCCTAGGGGAACTGAGGCCCCTGGAGCTGGCCATGGCCTTTTGCCCACCAGGGAAGCTGGGCTTCCTCCTCCTGCTGTTCGCATTCGGAATCCCCAGCCAGAGGCTGGCTGCCCTGACCCAGAGCCTTGATTGGGGTGGACAAATCCTTTGGTCCCGGTGTGGTGGTGTGGTGGTGGTAGTGGTGGTGGTGGTGGTAACCAGGCTTGAGGCCTCAACAGAGCTGAGCACACCCCAGTCAGCCAAAAGAAAGGGGCGGGCTGTAGGCAGAGTGTGGTCTTGTCCTAGCAGCTGTATGACCGAATTCCTGGGGGTCCGGGAAAATGGGCTGCTGTGTCCCTGATGGGACAGCTGGGGCAGGGAAGCCTGCAGTCAGCATATCTATTGTCAGTACAGCTACAGAGCATCCAGGGGGACACTCAGCCATATCCCCACCCCCACGCTGGGTAACAACAGGGTGGAGCCCTCAGCTTGCCTTGGTAAATTCTGGCCTAACAGGCACCCTGTCTTCCATGGTTGTCCAGGGGGCTTGTCCATGGGCCTGGGCTACAAGGCAGTGAGCTGGTGTTTCTGTGCCAGGCCTTCTAGCATGCACGTGCCATGGAAGTCCCTCCCAGCCCTGCTGTGATCTCAGAGCAGCAGGCAGGACTGTCTAGGTCTGCCTAGAAGTTTTTTGATCCTCATTACTTGATTATACAAGTGCTATGAAGTGCTATGTTGAATAGGGGCTGTGGCAGGGCACTGAGTGTCTCATTCACCATTAGAGATCTCTCTCTCCTTCTCTCTGTGTCTCTGTCCCTCCCTCAGTAGCTTCCCCACACTGGCGTTCGGTGAGATGCCGTGGGAGATGTTAGACAAAGCATGGTTCTGTGCTCCGTCTGCTCACCTGCAGAAGCGGCAGGACATGTCGACTTCCAAAAGGCGCTGGGTTCACCTTAGCAGGTGCAGGAGGAGGACATTTGTTAGCTCAGGGTGCCTCCTCTTCCCCTCCGGCGCTGGAGACAGGGCTGGGTAGATTTCCTGGTTCACACACCAGCAGAGCCTTGGTCCATGGCCAGCTGGTCACTGCTAAGGCAAAAGCTACACTTGCAGAATCAAAGTGCACTTGGTGGGTGCAGCTTTAACCATCATCAAGTCCAAGCCCCATCTTCCAAATGAGTCCGCTGAGGTCGACAGCCCAGGGCTGGTGAAGAGCTGAGCCTGACCTAGGTTTCCTGTCACCCACTGCCTCTTGCCCACCCTCTCTGTCCCACCACCTGCAAATTGCTCACTCTTGACTCTGTTTTGCCACCTACAGAAAAAGTTAGAAAACCTCAAGAGCTTAGACCTTTTCAATTGCGAGGTGACCAACCTGAACGACTACCGGGAAAACGTGTTTGAGCTCCTCCCGCAGCTCACGTACCTCGATGGCTACGACCGGGATGACAAGGAGGCCTCCGACTCAGATGCCGAGGGCTACGTGGAGGGCCTGGATGACGACGAGGAGGAGGAGGATGAGGAGGACGAGGAGGATGGTGAGTGGCCAAAGTGGAGAGCTGTGGGGACTCAGCTGGAGAATGGGATGCAGGAACCGCAAGAGGCGCCCTGAGAGCCTGCAGCTGCAATGGTCACTTCCCTGTAGGCCAGCTCCCCACAGTCCCCCGCATGTCTCCCTCATTTGCAGAGCATCCTGGGAAGGGAGGTTCTCCATATGTCTGTAGTGTACCCCAGCTTCTTTGTATATGGGGGGAGGAGGGAGAATCCTAGGTGGTGGCAGGACTGAGCCAAGGGACTGGGGCCCCATGGTGGCTGCCACCCACAGGACCACATGGCCAGCACCTAGAGTGCCTGCTCAGGTACTCTGGGGACCCCAAGGATTGAAAATGAGGAAGGCTGCAGGGCTCCCTGGCAGCGCTGCCAGGAGGCAGAAACTTCTGGAAGAACACAAGGGGAAACCTGCAGGGCAGCTTGGTTGGCTGAAGGGCTCAAGAAGCAGCCACCTGCCACGCTGCTCAGGCACAGAGCTGGGTTTGCACAGTAGAGGAGCAGGGTCTTGCAGATAAGCAGGGACCTGGGCCAGCGTTGGACCTGGCTCTGCAGTGACTTGGGTGTGTGTACTTGACCAAGATGGGTTCCTCCTGTCTTAGATTCCTTGCTGTGAAATCAAGAAGTCTGGCTACGCCCCCTCCACTCTTACCCCCCCCCCCCCAAAAAAAAAAGAAAACCATCTTGGCTTTCCTGGGTACCCGCTCCCTGACGAAGTCTGTAGCTTTGGAGGCCTTGGGAGGAGAAGGGCTCCTATCCCAGTCCCTGCTGGCCCTGAATCCTCGAATCTGCCCTTGGGCTTAAATGGGCCTGGGGGAGAGGTGCTGCGGGGCTGTGCTGTGTGAGCCAGGCCAGCTCACCACCAGTCCTGTCCCCTTCACACAGAAGAGTTGTTTGACGAAGACGCTCAGGTAGTGGAAGACGAGGAGGACGAGGACGAGGAGGAGGAGGGCGAAGAGGAGGACGTGAGTGGAGAGGAGGAGGTGAGGAGGGGTGCTGGATAGGATCCATTTAACGGGGCCGGTTTGCAGGAGGTTTGGGGAGGGTGGCTGGGGAGTGAGGAAGAAGATGATGGGGGCAAGAATTCACCTGCTAAAGGTGGGTCTGGCTTTTCCTTCCTCGCCAATGAGTCTGTTAGAAAAGGACAGAGTCCACGTGCCCCCTTCCAGCTTCCACGGAGTTCGGGGGCGGGTGGGGGGGAGCAGCAGCAGGAGACAGTGCTGCCTCCAGTCAGGGGAAGGGGAGATGGTACCCCTTGGGGTGGCCCGAACCTGGAGGGGAGGTGGCCGTGAGGGTGGCAGAGTACAGAGGCGGAGAGCGTGGTGCAGGCTGCTTCCCATTCCCCGCCCACCCCCACACACACGCACGTACACACACACTTGGAGTGTGCACTGGACCTCCTTGTACCTGTCCCTTTGTAAAGTAGGGCTCCCAGTGCCTTCCTCACTGGGCCACTGAGAGGATAGGACATGAGGAAGCTGCTCTGAGGCGGCATTTGGCAAAGTGTGAGTTTGGCCACCTGCTGTGGACACCATGCCCTCCTCCACGCTCCTGCCCTGCCTCCCCCATCCCCTACAATGCACCTGGGCTTTGTTACTGTCAATATTCGGTCTCGGTGTCGTGGAGTCATATTCTATAACTTGCTCAGAAGTGCACCAGCTCTAGAAAGGTTTAACAGGACAGTGGCCCAAGCAGGTGCCTGCGTGTCCCTCTTGCACACCCCCTCCGCTCCCTGTTTCCTGTCCCTCCCTGGAGGACACAGACATCCGCTGTGGCACAGACTTGGCTCAGACGCAGCCTCCCCGCCAGCCCAGTCCAGCCCGACCCCACTCGACCCGGCCCCGGCTAGTGTCCCCAGGCTGGCACACATACAACAGCTGTTGAGAGGGGCTTGGACCATCTTGTTCTCCCTCCACAGTCCCTTCTGCAGGGTCACAGGCAGGCACTGCCCTCCCCCAGCTGGACAGGCCAGTGAGTTGTGCTGTGGCTGATGGACTAGTGGCCTTGCCCTTCCTGTCACGAGCGTGACAGCGTGCGGGCTTGTTTTGTGGCTGTAATCTCAGTGACCATCTGCACGCTTCTAGGGTGGGGGAACTCAAAAAGGCGTGTGTGCATACACACACACACACACACACACACGCTCTCTCTCTCTCTCTCAGCCTCAGCAGGCAGGCAGGCAGGCAGGCAGGCGAGGGTGCTATCTGATGACAGTACCGAAGGATGTTTCTCTTCATGTAATGCAATCTGTTGCCAAGGACTTTGCAGCCAGGGGCCGCAGGGTTCACCACCCAGGGATGCCGCGCGTGTGTGTGTGTGTGTGTGTGTGTGTGTGTGTGTGTGTGTCTGTGTGTTGTGGGGAAGCCACACCCCTGGCTGAATCCTGAGCAGGTTGGAGTGGGGGAGGGCTACAGACAGCCTCTGGGGCCTTGACTACACCACTGCAGGGACTGAAGAGGGGGAGGCAGCGGCTGATCCTGAGCCTCAAGACCAGACTGAGGACGGACGGATGAGAGAAAGGCTGGCCTACTTTGCACAGTGGGGGAATCTGCTCAGGCCAGCAGCTCTCTGCCTGCTTGCCTCCCTCCAAGGGTCTTCAGGGCCCATGTCCCCAGTCCAGGCATGCGATCACAGGTGCCCTGCAGCTTGCACACCCGGGGCACCGAGCTCAGAATTGATGCTGGGCTGTGACCTAGAGGCAGCAGGCCTGGGCTGGGGATCCCGGAGGCCTAGGGCTGGCAGCCATCCTTCCGTGCTCCCTGCATGCAGGATCGTAGTCCACCCCAGCACACTGTGACTTTCTGGTGTCATGTTTTCTCCTAGGAGGATGAGGAAGGTTACAACGACGGGGAAGTGGATGAGGAGGAAGAGGAAGATGCTGGCGGTATGACGGCCTTTCCCTCTAGGCTCCCAGCAGCCTGGCCATGCCCAACACTGGCTCACCCCACCCTCACCCCAGCCCCACCTTGCCTTGGGTTGCCCCAGCTGGTGGGTGGAGTGACGAAGACAGGATGGGGGTCTAACAGAAATCCTTGCCCTTGCAGAGGAAGAAAGGGGTCAGAAGCGGAAACGAGACCCCGAAGACGAAGGGGAAGAGGACGACTGAGCGGAATCACTATTTTGAAAAAAATTCCTATTGTGATTTGACTGTTTTTACCCGTCTCCCCTCCCCCCTCCTCCAAATCCTGCCCCCCTGAAACTTATTTTTTTCTGATTGTAACGTTGCCGTGGGAACGAGAGGGGAACCGTGTACTGGGGGTCGCGGGGGGGGGGGCGGGAGGGGTGGAATAAAAGACTATTTTTACTGCCATCCTTTATTTTTTCCCCCTCCTCTTCCTTTGTGTCTGGTTTCGTCCCTGTAAGTACACACCGACTAAGCATCTGTCCCCCTCCGATGCCATGGGCTGGGACATTTCCTGGTGGGTCCCGGGTCCCTGGAGTTGGCAGAGGGATGGGGCACTAGACCTCAATCCATTTACTCTGAGCCCTGGAGGGCCCAGGCCTGAAGCTGTGTCTGTTCAAGTCTAGCTCTGGTCCTCGCAATTTCCCTGCAGTTCTTGGGTTGTAAACAGTGGTCTGCAGGCAGGTGGATTTGGCATGGGTTCCAGGGCTCTTCCCTGTCGTTCCACTTCCCTGGTCCCTTGCCCAGAGGGTGGCGGGCTCCTGTCGCTGCTGAGACGACACAGTGTCCTGAGGGCTGGGGGACAGGACACCAAACCCAGCGGCCGTGAGCTGGAATGGCAAATAAACTGGACCTGGTAGCATTCACCTGCCGACATCTGTCTGTCGGCAACATCAAGAAAACTGGCCTGTGTTTTTCTGGAAGGTGCCGGAACCCGTGATTTTAGATGGTGGAGTTCTCCCATGCATCCATGGCCGTGCCCAGAACATGGTGGCAGGCTTGTACACAGGAGACACGGCAGGTCTGGTTTGCTTTGAGATTTTTGTTGTTTCTTCTGTATACCTGAGCACGGAAAAGCTAACGTGAAATTGTATTTTCTTACCTAGTAGGGACCGGAAATGACTGCGGATTCCTAGCTCATGTCCTTGTGTGTTCATGTTCCTCCCACGGTCGCTGTAAGCAGTGCTGTGTCCTTTCTAACCCATGTTCCATCCAACTCTTGTACAAGCAGCCTGTGCCCCGGGTTCTCTCCTGCCCCTCAGAAGAGCCAAACTTTTGAGTTTTACATGTTTGTCATTGATAAATTTCAATAAATCTTTTTATACAATTTTTGGGGGATGGCTTCTTTTGAGTCCAGTAGGAGGCCACGGAGCTAGTGTGAGATGAATCCTGGAAAAGCTGCTAGCTCGGGGTTGGTAGGTAAGGGGGAAAGGGATCAGGCAGCACTTTTTTTTTGTTTGTTTATAGGAAGGGCTTGTAGGGACTAGACCCTGATCCTAGTATCTGTGATCCCTAAGTAGGGTTCAGTGGTGTGTCCTCAGGAGAGAGATGGCGGACTGGAATACAAGCAGGAAAGATGCCAAGAGTCGCTTGAAAACACACACTGGAGCAACAAAACCTTGGACCCATTGCTGAACTAACCATGTTTTGAATCTTCACTGTTTTGTTTTTCATGCTGTACAAAAAGAATGTATGCTAAAACTCAGGAATGTATAAAGCAAATTATTTCACAAACTCAGAGATTCATAAATGGTGTTTTTATTTTTCTACTTTTTTTTTTTTAACTGTCATGGTGACCATTTCTGTCCATCCCTAAAAGGTTTGCATAAGCGCCCGTGGCCACATCACAGACCCTTAACTTGCACTGGTTAGTTTGGATAGTTCTTTAGCATGCCATATTTTTCAGGCTCATGGATGAGTTTGCACTGTGCTCTCCAGCAGGGCTATGCCCACTTTTCCTCTTGTGTTTGCACAGATGAGGGTACATCAGTTTGTGGGGGAATGGAATTTAAAGATCATATTAGAGGCACAGAAGGCGAAGCTGCCTCTTGGGAGGCTCACATCACAGTGCCTGGTTCATTTTCAGGCTAGTTAGCGCTTCCCACCCAGCTTCCTGCTCATGTGCCTGGGAAGGCAATGGAAGAGGGTCCAAGTGCTTGGGCCCCTGCCACCCCAGTGGGAGACCCAGATGGAGTTCCTGGGCTCCTGGCTTCAGCAAGGTCTGGCCTGCCACTGCTGTTGTAGGTATTTGAAAAGTGAGTGGACGGCCTTCCTCTGTCACTCTACTTGAGAGAAGTTTGGATTGCCATACAGATCTAATCATAATAGCTTCTGAAGTGTTCTGCATTATCCCGTCCTAGCTCCTCACAATGTCTTAACATCCACTTGCAGTTCCAGCCTTGGTCAACCTGCCCTCTAAGACAAGTTGCCTCTGACTCCAGATGTAAGATGGGCAGGTGGCCTGTGGGCCAGGTGTGGTCTGAGTACTGAGGCCGTGAGGTGCTGAGCTGGTGGACGCAGGTTTCTGGTCCAGGCGCCCTCTGTGAAGGCTGCAAGTTTACTGGCAGATAAGGAAATGGGATTTATGGAGTGTAAGGTGTGATGGATGAATGATGACCTTGGGCCCATCATACCAAGCATTCACAGCTGTGAGAAGGATGTTTTAATGCCCATTTTATAGATGAGGAACATTGAGGCTGAGTGGGGAGGAAAAAATGGATAGATCCTAAGTCTGTCTGAGACCACTTCAACTTCACTGAACCTAGTTGTGTGTGGCATGGAAGGAGAGGAAGGCCAGCTGGGGGGCAGGGAAGAGTTGACCTTCACTGAGCTCTAGTGTGTGTGCCAGGCCTGCCCTGCACCACACATACAGTGTCACGTTAATCTCACTGAATCATCACAGCCACCTTCAGGAGGTGCCATCATCCCTGATAAACAGATGGCTCAGTGAGTGACTCACCCGTGGCCTTAGAGCCAGGAAACAGCACTGTGGGAAATGTATCAGATGTGACTGCAGGGCAAACCCTGGCCCTCGCCCCGAGTGCCCCCGCCCCAGTCAGCCATCTCCTGCCCCCATGCTCTGCGCCCACCTGTAGGAGAGTCTGCACCTGGAGTAACAGCCCAGGTACAGAGGCTCCTCCCCACAGCGTGCTGGCTGCCCAAAGCCAGTAGGATGGGACTCTGGGCAGGGAGGAGACTGTGGAAGAGAGGTCAGAGGAGGCAAGCAGTGTCTGCCCAAGCCACTTGTCAAGGGAGACCCCGTCCTGGGCCCCGCTGCTGACCGAGTGGTCACAGAGAAGTCCAGAGTGGGGGCAGGGGCAGACGGTGGCCCAGCAGCAGCATCTTCCAGAGACAATAGAACCCAACCCAGTGACCGGAGACAGGCTGAGTCCTGGCAGCCTAGCTGTGTTTCTCATGGCTCTGGGATGCAGCACCTGTTCTTATAATCTTCAGCCAACTGGGCTCCTGGATCCTCCGAGCAGCAGGGAGGGCCGGACCTCACCTGGCGCTGTCCAGTGCCTGGAACGAGAAACACCTTACAACCTTATGACCTCCCAGTTGGCCTCTGAGCTTCCTAGCCATCACCTCCCTTAATCCTCACAGATTTCACAGAGAAGGGAAACTGAAATCCGGCTTGTGTCAGGCCCCAGACCTGCATGGCTGAGCTGAAACCTTGTTCTACTTGGCACAGGCGGGGGAAGGAGGCTAAGTGATACCCTTCTCCCTGGCTGTTCCGAAGCTCATGGTTTCCCACTGGGAGGATTCCCACAGTGGGTCCCTAAGCAGCAGCTGTGGACTTGGGTGGTCTGCTGGCAGGCTGAACCTACGAGTGAGCAGGGCAGACCGGAGCTGGAAATGGCTTCATAGACAAGGACAGGCCTGAGATGGAGGCCACCCTCAAGGCTGGCCATGACCATCCCATCAGGGGAGTTGGAAAGAAATCCAAACTTGACTCATGGCTACTGACTGGCAGTGGTGTAGGAACAAGTACAGGCGGCTGCTGGGGGCTGCCTGACCCGCACTGGTTCCTTCAGGCCCACAGTTGTGCCAAGGCATCATTGCAAGCCATTCTTTGTTTCTGAAGTTCCCCCTGCCTCCTCTCCCCGCCTGCCACCACCTCCATGGTTCCCAAGTTAATCAAGGGACTAAGTGCTGGCCCATCAGAGGGCTCCTAACCCTGCCAGCACTGTTATAAGGAGGGACCTGGAACATCAATTGTCAAGTGCATCTTGGCCCCTGGAATTTGGCAAATGAGACTCAAGGTGCTGGGCTGGGAAGGTGGAGATATATCCCTTGAGACAGTGATGGAGAGTGAAACTGACACAGAAGCCTGCAGAGCCAGCTCCCCGGCAGGTTCCCTCCCAACATGCGCAAGCCCCATCAGGCACCACAGGACAAGGACAACGCCCAATGCTTGGAATTCACTGTCCACTGGACAGCAGATGTCACATGGCTCGTTGCTGATTTCAGCCCTTCTCATTCTCATCCACATTTCAAAGACTGAGCATGGACAGGTGTTCAGCAACTAGCGGCTGCTTTGTGTTAGACATTACTGTTAAAGTTGCCTAAAACCAACGGGTTCCCCTTATACACCCAAATCCCTGATAAGCCTCGCTGGGGCTGGTTGGACAGCCAGCCCTCACCCCTGCAAACTGATTCACTAGCACTGCGGGTGCAGCCTGGGAATCTGTGTTTTCAACAGTTCAAGGAGAAATCCTGTTGTGTGGTACATTTAGGAAATGCTGCAATAAAAGCTCGGTACCCTGGGCAGGCAAAGTGGCTCAACAAGCTAATCCTCCTCCTTCAAATGCAGAGGAGGATGTCCCACACGGGTACCTGCTGGCTTTGTCCTAGATGCTCCACTTCTCATCCAATTCCTAGTCTGTGGCCTGGGAAGGCAGTGGAGGATGGTCCAGATCATTGGGCCCTTGCACTCACATGGGAAGCCAGGAAAAAGCTGCTGGCTCCTGGCTTCGGATCAGCTCAGCCTTTAAGGCAAAGATTTGGCCACCAAGCCATTGCATTGGGCCCAAATAGATAAACAAATGTTAAAAAAAAAAAAAAAAAAAAAAACAAACAGAAAACAAGAAGCAGAAAACCTCACTTCTCACATCCCAGTGCCTGTGTTTAGCAGTTAACCCAGCCGCTGATTCCAGTGTCAGTGTCCTGCTAATCTCCACCCCGAGAGACAGCGGGAAGGACTTCAGCAGGTGGAGCCCTGGATTGAAATCCCAGCCTCTAGCACTGGCACTGCCCAGCTGTGCCACTGCAGGCATTTGGAGAATCAGCTCCCTAGCTCTCACTCTCTCATTCATGCTCTCTCCTCTCTTGTCAAAGCACAAACAAAAGCAAAAACCAGAACATCCTTAGTCATCAGGCAAATGCATTTTAAACTCACACTGAGTTATCACGCACACTTACCATTAAAAGAAAATCCAAGACTGACATGTCATGAAGCAACTAGAACTCATGATCATGACAATGTGAAGAATCATGTAACCTCAAAGGGAAATTCTAGCAATTTCTTTTAACTATATAATTGTAGGCAGACCCTGTGACCAAGGAATTCCACCCCTTGATATTAGCCTAAAAAAAAAAATGAAAAAAAAAACACTCAATCACCAAGAAGTTGTGCAAGGAAATGTACAACAACTCTCTTTTGAGTAACTCTAAATTGGAAGCAACGGAGGTGTCTGATAACTGGTGAATGAATAAATTGTGGCATCTCTGCAACATGAAATATCATCACCCAACCACACAAAGGAGTGGATTATTGGTGAACACAACTCAGAAAAGTCTCACAAGTCATTTTTCTGAGTAAAACCAAAGCAGAGGCTATAGTACAAATAAGGGCACCTCAAAATTTCAGGGAAAGGTAGACCTGAAATCCACACACAGTCTCCATAATATACATATTCTGTAA